TTGGAGGCCACTACCGAACCGCGGACCGATAACCAACGAACCAGTGCACAATGCACTGAACCGAAATCCGAAGACCTTCCGCGAAAGGTCTCTAGGATTTCCCACACGGGAACTTCGGTCAGCCTCCCGCGTTGGATCTATGCTTCACTGCTTTGTGAGTCAGACTTTTGATTTGAAGGCTCCGGTCAAGGTCCCAAACAAAAATCCTTTAAATCGGTGGAGGCTATGGCAAATTATATTGTACTCTAAAATATCTCCGGCGGCCATTTGGAAAACCCTCTCTCTCTTTCTCCGACTAGTTCTGTCCTCTACTCCCAAACAGTACGAGATGCCTTCTGTTTACGCTACCCATGGGGTATCACTCAACATTCAATCAGGAAGGTCAATCAATCAAAAGCTATAACGTTAATGAGACCAAAATCTTCATTTTACTTAGCCCCATTCAACGACCGCGCCTTAGCTAGACCTAATGAAGCCTTCAATTTAGGGGTATATTGTGTTTGAAAAGCACGCATAAAAGACCCCACCTTAATTAGCTTCTTACTGTCTCTGAATCCAACTTCCTCTCCGTGTATCAAGTGATTCGACGTTCGACGCTCGCGGTGTTTCTGGTGTTAGGATTGCACCAAGTGCCAAGGATAAACGCTCGGTTCTTGACTCTACCTATCGACGGTTCAGTTAGGATCTACAGCTACGGAACGAAGAGTCAGTGAGTATTAGTTGTGTCGGTGTATGAACCTACCGATTGCAGTGTATTTGAAATGGAGGGTGAATTCTACATGGACTTCTCTCAATTACTTCAATCTGCTCAGCTAACGGACATCTTAGTAGTCGCTGGAGGCTTTATTGCCCAAGTCTGATCCCTGGAAGAATCAGAAATGTATCTAGGTGGCCCACACGCAATCCCCACCAGCAGGACAGACAACAGAGATGATCAACTTCAACTCTAAGTAGACCAAGGATTGTTTCAATCGAGCACCGACTTGACGCAAAAGAAAAGACACCACCTCACACGGAAAAGATTTGAACCTCTTCACAACTTTGAATTCAAATCGGCCACTTCACCATCAGCTACCGTTGGTAGGGGTCCATTCAAGATTGCCATTCTTATTAGTCAACAGCCACGCTCGGTTTCAATCCAAATTCTCCCTACGCCTATTACTTGACCGCAAAAGCTCCACCGGATACGGATATCCATAATAAATTGTCAGCAATTGTTGCAACTTGGCGTTCGTAACCGTACTCTGATCGATTCTCAGCTCAATCAACCACCAAAAAATACGATTCACACTGGATGTTAATCAAGGAAGTCATCCAAATGTCAATCAAAACGACCGCAGATTCTGGTGCGAGCGATCGAAATACAAAACCATGGACAGCGGCTGTCTTGCTGGACACCCGCAGAACCATCCCTCTGAAGACCACAGCGAGACATAGCGCGCAAGTACCTTAGATGTAACCTCGTTACGAGGTTGATGAATAACCGCAAGAAATGGTGTATACGAAGAAACGTGTGGAAAGACGAAAAAGCCAGCCGCTATCGATAATAGTATCGATTCTTTCCGTCTAATTGGAAGTACGGGTCCGAGGAAAGCAGGACTTGATGAGTTGACTGAGGAGTCTGACCAAATTACTGATTCATGACCGACTGGAACCACGGAAAGTGGAGTTCGTTAGGGTTCCTCCCTCCCTCCCGCCCTCACTCACTCACTCTCTTTCCATTTAATCTTGTTACAGATTTCATCATAGAAACAGCCCTTTCCTTGTGCGAGGATAGCGGTATCGATTTACTCCCCAATGGGAAACCGTCTCGTCTGGAGTGGACAGACGACACCATAGTTCTGAGTGAAGATTCAGGTCAGTTGCAAGCGTTTCTGAATAGTTTGAATGCTAATGTAGCCATAGTCGGCTTGCGTTTTGCACCGTCAAAGTGTAACATGTTGCTACAGGACTGGGTTGGTTCAGTAACCCAGTTCATCCTAAATGAAGAAGTAATAGAGCAAGGGTACAGGTTTTGTTACCGGGGCAGCTATATCACGCGGTGGACGTATCACAAGTGAGATGTCGACACGCACACTAGAGGCTCGATTGACATTTGCCAAAATGAAACATCTGTTGTGTCGTCGCGAAATCCGTCCCTTTGTGTGAAGGATCGAGTGTACAGTGGAGTAGTTCGGCCAGTTCTATTAAAGGGCGCAGAGATTTGGCCATTGAGAAAACAGGATAAAAAAGACTGTCGGGTTTTTAACACCGCTGTCTACGCAGTATTGCACGAATCTGGTGGGGAAACCAGGCTCCCAGTTTTTGGGTATTCGCCGTCGCCCATAGGAACAAGTGGTCAACCTCCATAGATCACGCTGTTTGGAGCATGTGTTACGCATGTCATCAAACAGATTACCACGGCAGGCTTTGTTTGCCGAGGCAGGCAATGGATGTAAAAAGGTCATAGGCGATCAAAATATGGCTCGACTTGAGGGTATGAAAACCCTTAGCAGGAGACTTACTCATATAGGTCGCCACAGGTCTACTGGATGGGGACAATTGGATCAATATATTGTTAAAGGCATCGAGTGATATGGATAAGTGTCCTAATCCGTGGCGCTTGTTCATCTACTCATTATCATTGCTATTTTATCCTTCATGAATTGGCTATTTTCTTTCAAACACAAGGTTTGAACATTCCAACCTTCCTTTTACTCCTTCAGCCAAATGGGACATCATGATATAGCAACCAAAACTGGTGCACGAAAGGGCATTGTGATTGGTTCTAAAAACTGCGACTGAAACTATCTCGAACAAGTATTCACAAACCAGAGAGAAATTGATCAAATTCACTTATTTTGCCTGAAAACCATTCCAACAATGCTTTCATTATTTGTACCATGTTCATGCTGATTTTGCTTCGACCAAGCAAGCAGATCTGGCGGATGGGAACTAAACTCAGAATTTCCCGCACAGAGAATGAAGTGGGCTGGCGTGATTGGGCTTCAATCGATAAATTAGTCAACGCGTCTTTTGTGGATCATTTCACAACCTTGAGAGTATTCACTCCAACAAATACAACCTGTCGCATATAATCCGTATGAATTGTGGGCAATATATCATCTGCCAAGCTTCGATAGGATTTCCCATTGCGAAACGTAACATAAAGTGCGCTTATATTGTTCTGATTAGACCATGCGATTGTTCAGATGCACCAAGTCCTGTTAATGGTCTTGGGTATGGGTTTCACCCGCGAAGAGATCTTTCATTCCCCAGTAGTTGAGTGAACTTGAGCACATTTAAATTTATCGTGATTTATCGATCAGCTGTCACCACAGGGCAATTAGATTTTCGAGATTGCCGAGGTAAAAGAATA